GAGTTCTGGGACAAGAAGAATGTACGGTGAAAGCGGGCGTCTGAAAATTTTCCTGAGTCCGGTCGGTTTCCCGTCTTTTTAGGAATCAGTGATACGGGCACTCTTGCAGCACTTAAATTCATCCCCGTCTCATCGCTTCCAGACTGCGGATATAATGACATGGAATCTCTTGATCTCGCCTTGACACGTGCACAGACGCTTTATCATGAGAACCTTGTGCAGCTTCTTGGTTACGGTCAAACAAAGGAACACATGTGTCTGATCATGGAATATGTTCCAGGTGGAACACTGCGTGACACCGTACGACGGTACGGTCGTGCCTTGCCACTCATGGCGATAAAGCGTTTTCTGGTAGGTATATTGCGCGGGTTGGAATACTTGCATGATCGTGGTCTTGTACACGGTAATCTTCGGCCAGAGGATGTTATGGCTGCTGTGGAAGGCCTGTATAAATTACGGGGAGTCAGTATGGCTTGCACAGCAGAAGCAGCAGCAGCCATGACAGAAGAAAGACTGCGGGCAGAATCTTGCCTTAATAGATGGGCGTATAGCAGTCCAGAGGTATTTACCACCGGAAAAAAAGGTGCTGCTGCAGACATTTACGCTGTGGGTGTTATTTTGCTGGAGTTGATAACAAACCAAACGCCATGGCGCTGGATGGAGGGGACGGTAACAAGACCGTTGCAGAATATTTCTCCCGCGGAGGATGAAAACATCCGGCAGCAAAACACGAAGAAAACTCTTGTGGAGCTTACTGCGATTCTTTCAGATTATGATCGAATGAAAGTGGCTCAAATGGAAAGGAAAATTTCGTTAGTGGAAATCCCACGTGAGGGGGACGCACTTATTCAAGAGGTGCTAAAAAGCTGTTTGGTGACGGATCCTGAGGGACGTAAAACAGCTTCTGAACTTTTGCAGCTTCTGAGTAGCATGCAGTAAAGAAAATTTATGAATGAGTAAGGGAAGGTAATGGTGTGTAATATGGAAACGTTAGTGTTGGAAAGTAAAGGGAAAAAATGTTTGAACGTCGTGTGTGTGTTTTTTTCTTTTTCTTTTTTTTTTTTTTTTGGTGCTTTTGATTTTAAATGGACGCATTGGAAGGCAGCGAGAAGTGTTTCTTTTTCTTTTTTTTTTATCCTTTTTCTACCCCAGTTACCCTTTACTGTCTTCCATGCGGAGGGGCCTGGGGGTTGCGGGGCATTAAAAAGAGACCGCCAGCTTGTGTCTCTACACAACAGCCTCAGTTATTGGCAAATGGAACTTTGAACGAATGATTTTACTTGTGTATATGGGTGTTGTATAGATCTCTTTTTTTTTTTTTTTTGAATTTTGGAAATGTTTGGAGCAATCAACCAAACCATTTAGGCTTTTTTTTTCCCTTTTTTCTTTACTTTATGAAATATAGGATTAGGCCTTATCTGAGCGCACATTCGCGAGGATAATTGTTGTTTGTTGTTGTTGTTGTTGTTCACCTATTTTAAAATGCCTATTGCTTCTTTGGAAATCCCAAGAAATGAAGGATTTTTGGAGCCCGCATTGCAGAGCACGTCTTCCAACACGCTCTGACGCGTGTGACCTTCACGTATATTGTTTCTCAAGGTGTGTCTCGATAAACGGGTTTGAACTCGTCGTATCGGATCGTGCAGATGATAAAGAGCAGCACGGTGATGCGGTGTGCGGAGACGCGGGGGCATGCACGCCCCGGGCTGGCAACAGTTTTTGGGCGAGTCGTCTCTCATCACCCATGAACACGGCGAGGGCAATTGGACGAAGGCGGGACATGTTGGCCGCTGAAAATCTGAATTCTCAGCGCGACTATGCCCAGGTCGCCGGGGAGCACCAGCACCTTTGCGCTCTCTCCTCATTGCGCAGCTGACGGCCCAGGAGAAGAGGGACTCCGTGTGACCCTCGCGGAAGAGCTCTCCGCGAGAAGTGCAGGACTTTTGGGAAAAGGAAACGCGACCGTTGACGAGGGAGAGGCTTGGAGAAGCCAGCGCTGCCCGAGTTCACCCCCCAACCGCGGGGTGGCAACTCCCCGGTGCCCAAGCGTCGCCTTGTCCCTCGGAAAGCCTCTGGCACCCTCGTTTTTGCAACGGCGGCGGGGACGATGGTGGTGACCGTGAGCCCCCGAATGCATGCGCTCCTCCACTTGCCCAGGGCTCCGCCAACGACGTGCCGAGCCGGGAATTCTCGGGGGATGGGGGGAAGCCCCGGGTTCCTCATTCACGACGCGGCTAAATGGGTCTCTCGTTCCCAGAGTGGGAATTGCAGGCTCTGGAGCTGCTGCTGCGCAGGAGCCCGGCGACTGGGGATAGGAATCCACACATGTTCAGGAGGCGCTCGCGAGCCCCATGGGATGGGTCGGGATGGGCGGTGGTCTTGGTGCGCCGGCGTACGTTGGCTTCGCATTGACGGAATCCCCTCGAATGGTCGTGAGCCTGTCCTTTCCCGGCGGTTGGTGGTATTGGCCCCGCGTCGCTTTCAAAATCCTTTGGAAAAAGCCCGGCTGGTATGGATTTTTCCATGAAATAATCTGTCCGCTGGTGTTTTGGCGTTGAGCAGACGTAATCCGATCTTGATGCCGGACACACCGAACTCAAGTGTTGTCTTTTTTGTTTTTTCTTTTTGTGGTAAGAGGGGGAAAGGCCTCGGCGAGGGGTATTGTCCATGCGAACGTGTTTGGTAGGATAATTTTTCTTAGCTTTTACGAGCGATGTTTGTGTATTTCTGTAATCAATTTCCTTTTTTTTTATTTACCGCAAATGCGTGTGCGTGCATGTTTGTTTGTTACAGCGGGGAAACTGGAGAGGCTGGCGCACACGTCCGGGTATTCTGCACGCAATCGTCAGACGACGCGTCCAACCCGTGACGGTGCAAACTCTCGTGGACGCGTTTCTTCGTTCCAACGGTACTGCGTTCCCACTTCTCTTTCCCTCTCCTTTTACTCAGTTTGCGCAGTGACGTTTCAGTGCAATCCAGGCAAGAACGGCTGTAAGGGATGTCCGATGTGGGAGACAACGACACCAACAGCAGCACGGAGAGGGCCCCGTCAGGTGATCAGCACAATCCGCTTACCACTCAGCAAGCATCCATTACTGCGGACGAAGTCTGGAGAAACAGTGGAATTAATGCATTGAATCCAATACAGCCGCAAGATGTCGGTGAGCGCGTGCATGTGAGCGTGCCTGAAAACCCTAACCGCGAAGCAGTCATGCACGGCGACAGAGAGACATTGTTTTCCCAATCCCAACCGCAGGAGTGCAACGATCAAATTTCATTTGGCATGGGGTCTCAGCCCTCTTCTGCGGCAAGAGAAGGCGTGCGGCCCGACAAGCAGGACACAGGGGGCGCGGAAGAAGCCGGTGCCCCACCCTACTCAGCGCATCAGCGATACGCCAACACCACTGTCGGCACTCCAGAAGTCCTTCATGCAGCAGAAACGGGCGGTGACAGCGGGGTCATGCATTTTGAGGAATTCAATTCGAGTGTCAGGCCCCCGGGTACAAGTGTAGGGTCATTGCCCTTTTTTATGCGCTTCCGAAACCCAACATTGAAAGGTCCGCAACAGAAGGCGCATGGATCAACTAACACGCCTTTTTCCCCTGTGAAGCCGTATGGAGAGCCTGTTATCACCAACCGTCATCACTCTCCGCGCTTAATGAGAACATTTGCACTTTCTCTCCGCTTCTGGGTGCTTTGCCCTCTCGTGGTGATTTTATTGGTGGTGGCCGCAGTTACGATGGCGTTATCGTTTGCAACGTCGAAAAGCAGCTCAGAAAGCGTCTTTTTGTCCCTGCATGACGTGGTGTTGGACAGCATAGAGGAGTCTGTGGGAGATTTAACGTTGACAAAGATGGCACGCATGGCGGTGTCGACAGGAAGCATGTACTTTTCTAAGAACACCTTCCCCAACCTTCGGGCTGACATACTGATGCCGCTGGAAGGCGGCATGATGTCGCGTCTCTGTGCTGTTCTTCGCGACATGGATCCTGCTAAGATGGTCTCTTCTCTCGGCGCTGTTTCGCTGACGAGACAACAGGCTGCCGTGTGCTTTAACTCTCGTTCACGCCCTGGCAACTTTGTGGGTACGGTGAGTCGCAATGGTGTCATTAAGGGCTTCTACTACGTTGACTCCGTGACACTGGAGTACAAAACCCCACTGGAACCCCTGGAAAAAGTTGATCCCCCCATGAGCATCGATGGCTTTACCAAATCCCAGCGCTTCGAGAAGGTGGTCGAGAAATGGAAGACTGCGGTGGAAAAGGGTGAGCCGATGCTGTCAGAGCAATATTGGGTGACGCCGCGCCACCCGCCGAACTATGTTGTGTTTGTCTACCCATTCTTTGAGGTGTATGAAGACGGCAGCACCGGTGTTGGCTACATTACTCAACGATCTTCCA